AGGCGACCCGGCGAACTCCGTTTCGCCACCAGATTCGTTTTATGTTTTTTTTCGTTTGGTGATTAAAATATAAAGAAAAAAAATTTTTTTTGTTATATATTTGAAAAGGAAAATATTTATTTCATTTCACAACAGTAATAAATTCATTTCAATTACCTACTAAAATGAAGTGTTATTTAATTGTTTCATTGTAGTGCTCTTTGGTAAACCACATTTTTTGTTTTTTGGTTTGACGTTAACACAAACAAAGCGGATGGTTTCCCAACTCGTGAACACGCAACGTATAACTGTCCATGTGAAAAACAATGATTTTCCAAATTTATCCCGCAAACACTAAGCGATTGGCCTTGCGACTTATTAATTGTCATTGCGAACGCAAGGCGAACTGGGAATTGCAATCGTTTGAAGTCAAACGGAAGATCAGTCGGAATCATTGGTATTCGAGGAATACATACATTTTCACCTGCGTACTTTCCGTTAATAATGGTTGCCTCAATTAAATTCGGCATAAGTCTCTTTACCGAAAGTCGAGTACCGTTGCAAAGTCGCGGTGGATTCAAATTACGCAGTATCAAAATAACTGTACCAACTTTCAGTTGCAAGTTATGTGGTGGAAATCCTGGTATCTCCAGAGAGTTCAAAAACTCCGTTGGATAATTTACTACATCATCGGGATTTGTTATTGAATCAACGGATTTGTATGTCACCAAATCGCCAGCAATTTTTGATTGAATGGTGAAATTCAGTGCGTGGACATCATTATTCTTTGCTGCAAGAATTGCTCGTTGACTTAACCAAGCATAATTCTTATAATTCTCACTAATGTTTGGGAAAACATTTTCAATAAGAACTAATTGAGTGTCTACAAATCGGCAAAAGTCGTTGGTAAGAGTAATTAATCCAGATGTCGCATCAACTGGGACTTTTCCATTTCCAAGATCTAACAATTGTTTTGAAAATTGTGCAGCACTTTGATCATTTTGAAGTTGAACTCTCATATTAGTGGTTAGCGATAATGTTTTTACGTTATTCCATAAAGGTGATGCCTTTAGGCAAGCATTCAATTCATCTGCAGGCGTTCCACGGGGAACTACTGGCAACGTCTGCCTGAAATCGCCTGCCAACAATATCATCAAGCCGCCAAAGATGTTGTTATTTCTCCGAAGATCCTTCAGTGTGAAGTTAAGTGCTTCAAGTGATTTCTTATGTGCCATTGTGCACTCATCCCAAACAATGAGCTTGCATTGCATTAACAATTTTCCCATTGCACTGGATCGGGAAATATTGCACGTTGGAGTATCAATTGTGTTTAAATTGAGTGGCAACTTAAGCGCAGAATGTGCAGTACGACCGCCATCTAGAAGAGTCGCCGCAATTCCAGATGATGCTAACGCCAAAGCTATGTCACATCTTGATCGAATAGTGGCCAAAATCAATGAAATGACAAATGTTTTCCCTGTTCCTCCAGGTGCATCCAGGAAGAATAGACCACCAGTATTATTGTCCACCGCTTGCATTAATGTTTTGTATACTTGTTTTTGCTGTTCATTCAGCAACGGAACATTATTTCTAACGAATTCCTGCAATGTATCAACATTGTATTGCAGCTCTCGATTTAATTCTTGGTTGAATGCATCGTGCATCGATCGATTTGGCGCAATCATTCCTACTTCAATCAGTAGCTTGTTTGCAATAGTCAAGCATTGATCCTCAATCAGAATCAATCCTTCATTGTAGATTTCATCGGTTATTTGGATGTCAGGATTATTCGTTTGAATACGCAAGCGATGCAAGATATCTTCACATATGGCGTCTTTGTATTTGTTCCATAACTGAATTGGTTGTGAAGGAAAACATGTGGTGATGATAATTGCGAACAGCGTTCGTATTTGGTACGCATTTGATGAAACAACTGAATCTGCAAGTGTTAAATCCCAATGAGAATCGTTCTCCAGCAAACCCAATAGTTGACATGCTTCTCGATATGTTTGGCATTGGTGGCCATTCACAGTTTTCAAATGCGCAAATGATTTCGGTCCACGTACATTTACTAACAGCAGTCGCAAATAAAAACATTCATCGTTTCTAGGATGAACAGTGTACATACGACCTAGTGCATCAGTTGAAAACACCTGTGGCCAGTCTGGAACTGGGGTTCCTTGTTTGCGACGTTGGAATTTCTTTGTTGATTGATTCCAAGTGTAATACTTGGGCATTTCAACGTACATCAGCGTCGCTGCGAATGGATCTGATTCACACATTGCAAAGAAGCTAGTCAATGTTGTCGATGGTGGTCTCTCAGCTCGTTGTGCCGCATTAGCCTCAGTGAAGTAAACTCTTTGGCCATTTTCCAAATGCACTGCTAAATGTACAACTGTGGGATATCTTTCATGAATTTGAAATGACAATAATCGCCACAGTGCTTCATTAGTACTGACGTATCTGCCCATTTGGAAGTTGCTGATTTCGTCATTCACATTTTCCGACGCAATACCAAACACAGCCATGTCGCTGCCTTTTGTGACGTACTTGCACAAATATTTGATTGATTTGGCCGAATGACAACTCTCAACGTTTGCATTTGTTTAAAAGTAAATTTTTTTGAAGTACATGCTATGTATAATAGATGGAGCTGTATGTGAAAAACGATTTCCCCACTTTTCTGTTGAATTTTTCCTGAATTTTCCAGAATTTTCTTTGCTATAAACCTCACGGAGCCCAAGACCTTTCCAACGAATGCAAAACCGTGGAAATCGGTTCGTGCGTTCTCGAGTTATAGCGTCAGGGAGGAAAACCGGACTTATTTCAAAATATTATAATTTTATTTGTCATTTAATTACATACTTCTGATTATTAACGTAATGAGATACTTTTTTACGTTTTGGTAAGTAAGCAATTACACAATAATATGCAGGAAGACATGCAAAGAATCAGAGATGTTAATTAATTATTTTTTGTTACACAAGGACAAATTAATATTGTTTTATATTATTTCATTAATTTTAACATTAGTATTTTCAATATACTTAGCAGGGATTGTATAATTAATATAGCATCATTGATTATAAAATTTACAGTCTCAAAAATATCATAACTTACTTAAAAATAATAATATCATTAAAAGTCTATAATGGTGCCTATATAATAATCTTACCTTCAAATTTATAATAGGCCAATATTCACTCTAATATTATCAAAACTAACAGAGCACTAAAGAAACTGGTGAGTGAAAATGTAGGACGTCGTCTGAGACAACACATGCAGGTTCGACGTCCTCTTAAGCTAATTATTGTTTGTTCTTCAAAATATGTACACCAAATACCAAAAGACAAAATCCGTGTAGCTGTGTTTGTAGCCAAAGGTGGATTGCCCAATGCGTATCATGGTCGAATTAGTTCACAAAGCGAGGTACACCAATGTCGATTTGTCTGTAAAATGAGGTATCCTGCTCCTACACTAAAAATAATATACCGATAAAGCACAATATTTTGTGTTTCATAATTTTTTCACGAGCAAAGTCGGGTTATACAGCTAGTAGTTAGTACCTATCATATATAACGATATTAAAATTACAATTATTAAGAGAAAGATAATTAAGAAGTATAATAATCTCGTAATTGCCCAACAAACAACAATGGTACTGACATGGATTAACACCGGACAACGTATAAGTTACTTTAAATTAGTATAAACTTTTTTTTTTTTTACTTAATTAGAATATTTACAATCTATGCTACAAGGCATAATAAGCAAATTTGATCATACATAAAAAAATTTTACAACCTGAACACATGAGGAGGGAGGCCATCCAGTGATAGAACCCAACGTTATTTTAATTATTTATTAATTATTAACTTAATTTAACTTAATATAAATTAAATTAAAATTAAATGATATGAATCATCAATTATTTAATAAATCACGACACCAATTTCTCTTTAGACGGCGTGGGGGATTACTAGGAAGTGAGTTGGAAGCAAGTTCAGCGATTAAAGGGTTAGAGTGACATTGTAATTTAGAGTGAAATTTTTTATAATGTTTTGTGGCTAATTGATTTACTGTTTCTATTTTGAAGTCATTTTGGAGTGTGGACTTTGATACGTACCAAGGTGCGGAAGAGATAATTCGGGGAGTCACTACATTGGAAGGCTTGGAGGGTACGTATTTGAGATGGTTTAGCGCATCCCCAGATTTGGATAGCATAAGCCCAGATAGGCCGTAATAAAGATTTGTAGATGATTATTTTTGTGTGGAAGGGTAATTTTGATTTCAGAATTGGGCGAAGTAATTGGAGTCGACTATTGAGAATTTTTCTTTTTGACTTGATATGAGGACCCCAGGTCAATCTTTTCACTTTTGTCAATTAGGACGCCGAGGTATTTTACTTCTGAGGAGTATCTAAACTAGCTCTAAACTTAGAGTTAAGAAAAATATCTACTATACTATACGTCTATTATACTATACTCTACTATACTCGTATCTCATATCTGTGTTTATCCATTTGTTTTTTAGGATATTTTGATTTTAAAACAAGAATGCGAGATATGAACAATAATATTATAAATTGTATTATAATATTTTCCACAGGTTACCTACTCGGTTACTCATAACTTACTCACTAATCCTCGCATATCTTTTTAAGCTCCCCAATCCCTGCTAAATTATACAATATTATAAAGGTAAGCATGTGTTACGTTTTTTTTACATCTGAGAATAATTTTAATATACGGTGTCAACTGAAATCGCATGTCACTATATGGTCGTTTATGTTATCCCATTCTTAAACGAAAACTGACCTTAATAAAATAATATCTATTATCTATATCACAAATAAATAAATATAATGTAGATATATTACGCTGTATTTCTGCTAGTTAAGAGATAATAATAATATTATTAACGGCCATTTTCCAGATTATCACTTTTGTAAAAAAACTAATTCACCATAAGTGAATTCCGTAAGATGTTTTATAATTAATGATTCGCCGAGTACCATTATATTATTATTGTTGCTTCCACGTAAATTACATTACACTGAATTAACTTTTTTGAACCTTTCTATGTATAAAGATAAAGAAATTTAGTTTATAATGATTTATTAAGACTATAATATTATGGAAGAAAACTTTATTTAATTTGTTTACATAATTATAATATAGTATTACATATATTTTTTATACATATTTGGTTTTTTTCAAGGCAAGATCCTTTTAAGTAGGGCATGGATTAAATACATATTTGCATATCTTTTGGATTGCATGACATGATGTTTTCCAATATACAATTTCAGTGTGTTTCAAGTAAATACTATTTTAAGGAACTTTTTCAGTTTTCCGTTTTTAGATTTTATTATTTTACTATTTTCTGAGTGTATAGGACAACATAAATGATAAATCGCATTATAGTTATAGAACGACGACATGACGTAATCTGGCTTTAAAATAATACGTCTTGTATTTATTATAATAATGACTGGATGTCAATTTTATTAATTCGCATGGATAAATAAATTTTTTTATAAAAAATAAATTATTTATATTTTGTTAAATAATACTTTATTAGTAATTATATTGTACTATCAAATAAAGGAGTTTTTGGGTCACAAATAGTTTTAAAGGGCATTTTATATTTTTTAGGGCATACAAATCAATGTCTCATATTTAGCTTTAGCTATTTAAACTATGCATTATATTAGTTTTATAGGCAATAAGTAATAACCTTCATAGTGCATCTGTGGTTCATTTTCTTTAATTATTATACTATGATATACAACAGAAAATATTTAAGTAGGTACTTACTATTTGCTATTCAATTCTAACACATTAACATAGGAAACTATTATACGAATCATGATGAATGTGGTCATCGAGTACCAATTATTTTATTAACTATTGTCAATAGACAATTATATTATAATATAGATACCTAATTGTCTAAATTATAATAAATATTATGTAATGTGAACCGTTTAATACAAATATTTATGACTAATCTAATTATTCCATTTGCTGTCAGAGTTGTTACAATATAAAATTGTACCTATTATAAGCCTATAAGTGCCTATAACATATTACATAATTTTAATGTCTAAAAGTCACGTACATTTTCATTGAAATAAGTTACAATTAATCCAGTTTAAATATTTATAGACCACTATGAATAATAATTTTTCTTTCAAATGAACAATGCACTCGGACTACGAATCCATTGAGAAATGTTTATTGACAAAATAAGCTGGAAGAATATTATTTTAATAAACATATAGTTCAATTTGAATATAAAAAAAAAATCTGCAATTTTTAATAAAGTATTTAAATGTATCCTTTATTATTGTTAATTTAATACCAGCGTGAGATAATCATTTAACGTTATAATTATAGTAACTTATTGATTACTATTACACTGATACAACTGTTATTATACATAATATTATGATGATTGATAGAAAGAATAAACCAATCTATAAATCTCATCGTATAATATGCAAAAGCAGCATTGTTTATTTAATGATTTTAATAAACCAACATTTGAAAAAAATCCTTTTTTACAACCAAGCTTACTAAATTGATTTTATTTTTATAGGACTTACAAAAAATTATATATTTAATGAATTTTGTTTACCAACTAATTATAATATATGTACATTGTACATATCGAATATACCTACCTAATCAATATATTTTGTTCAATTATATTTGTATCAAAAACTTTTTACTCAATTTTTATTAATGTCTCGAAACTTTTTATTTTATAGTTAATATTACGCAATTGCAAATAAGTGCGACCTGCAATAAACTATAAAGGGTAGACATTGTAATTACCTTCCAGAATAAAATAACAATTTTCATTAATTTATAGAGTATGATGAGAATACTGTCAAAGTCCAAACAGTACCTACCTTTTACCTAAACATTCGTAATACGCATCGTGCTACTTATTGTATTCTTGATATTACTAATCAATACTGACTGAGGTGTTTTGTGTGCATGTTTTTGTATTTCAATTTTTTCAATTACCTACCTATATAATATTAAGGTTTAGAAAAAAAAATATTTTTTTATTGGTCTAGGGCCCGCGGACCCGGAAACTATGGCCATTAGCTATTGTAGCGGTTGATACGGTTGGTTATAGCAACACGTGTATGTGTGGAAAGGTTTTTTGGACCCAGATGGACACGGATGGTATAGTAAATATTTATTTTAGACTTAAATGCTGTCTCACTGAAATATAATATCATCTAGGCATGTATTATACGTTTATAAAAATATGTTTCAGTGATCAACACTTAAGAATATTATAAAAATACGACTAAACTATTATCACCGAACGTAACATATAAATTAAAGTTCATGCAAGATAACGATTTTTAAATAACGAGCATGGTCATTATAACATCGATGATTTTTTTTCAGTTTAACACGGTCACCACAAACGCATGGTCGACTCGGTTTTATTCCCAAGTAACGAGTTGAATAAAAAATATGTTGGTGATCCGTTGCAGTAAAAA